GCACATTATAGTGTTGAAATTTTTTAACAATTTTTTTAAAAATGTTTCGTCATCTCTGGAGGATAACGTCAAAATCCACTAAATTTTTCGAGGTCATGGGCTAACCCCTATGAATTTTTGAAAATTTCAGAACATGTATTATTTCCTAGTATAATTATTTAAAGAGATTTTAACCAAATGATAGTGTTAAAATTGCTTAACAAACGTACAGAAATATTTCGTCGTCTTCTGAGGATAACGTCAAAATCCACCAAATTTTTCCAGGTTTTGAGCTAACCCTTATGAATTTTTGAAAATTTAAAAACATGTATTATTTTCTATTATACTTATATAAATACCTCTTAACCAAATTAAAGTGTTGAAACTGTTTAACAATCATTTTTAAAATGTTGCACCGTTTCTTAAAGATAACATCATAATTCACCGAAATCATGGACTAATCCCCTGTATTTTTTAAAAAACTTTTAAACATATATTTCTTGATATTATACTAATTTAAAGACACATTGACAATATTATAGAGTTTAGTATTCATAAAAATTGTTTTAAAATTGTTTCAACGTCTCCAGAGGATGACGTCAAAATCTACTAAATTTTTTGAGGTCATTACCCTATGAAATTTTGAAAATTACAAAACATGTATTACTTGCTAGTCTACTTATTTAAAGACCCATTAACCAAATTATAGTGTTGAAATTGCTTGATTTTTTTAAAAAAATATTTCGTCGTCTCCTCAGAATTACGTCAAAATCCATCAAATTTTTTGAGGTCGTGGATTAACCCCTTTGAGTTTTTGAACATTACAAAACATGTATTCTTTGCTAGTATATCTATTTAAATACACATTAACTAAAATATAGTATTGAAACTGATTAACATTCGTTTTGAAAATGTTTCATCGTTTCTAAGGATGACATCAAAATCCACTGAAATCGTGGACTAACACCTATAAATTTTTGAATATTTTTTAAAATATATTCTTTGATAGTATACTTATTTAAAACCCCATTAAACATATTACAATGTTGAAAATTCTTAACAATTGTTTTAAAATTGTTTTGACGTCTCCTGAGGATAAACGTCAAAATCCACTAAATTATTCGAGGTCATGGGCTAACAGCCCTTATGAATTTTTGAAAATTTTAAAACATGTATTATTTGCTAGTATACTAATTTAAAGATCCATTAAACAAATTATTGTGTTGAAACTGTTTAAAAATCATATGGAAAATGTTTCAGCGTATCCGGTGGACAATGTCAAAATCCACCGAAATAGTGGACTAACTCCTATAAAATTTTCAAACTTTTAAAACATATATTCCTTAATATTATAATTATTGAATTTTAAATTAACCACATTATAGTGTTGAAAATTCTTAATAATCTTTTTACAAATGTTTCGTCGTCTCCGGAGGATAACGTCAAAATCCACTAAATTTTCCGAGGTCATGGGCGGCTAACCCTTATAAATTTTTGAAAATTTCAAAACATGTATTAATTTATAGTATACTTATTTAAATACCCTTTAACCAAATGATATTGTTAAAATTTCTTAACAATTGTTTTAAAAATGTTTCGTCGTCTCCTGAGGATAACGTCAAAATTCTTAAAAAATTTTGAGGTCATGGCTAACCCCTATGAATTTTTGAAAATTTTAAACCATGTATTACTTGCTAGTATACTTATTTCAATACTCATTAACCAAATTATAGTGTTGAAACTGTTTAACAAGCATTTTGAAAATGTTTCATCATCTCGTAAGGATAAAGTCAAAATCCACCAAATTTTTCGAGGTCGTGGGCTAACCCTTATGAGTTTTTGAAAACTTCAAAACATATATTCCTTACTAGTATACTTTTTTAAAGACCCATTAACCATATTATAGTGTTAATACTACTTAACAATCGTTTTGAAAATATTTCGTCGTCTCAAGAGGATAACGTCAAAATCCACCAAGTTATCCAATGTCGTTAAACCCCTATGAAGTTTTGAAAATTTAAAAAATGTATTCTTTGTTTGTATACTTATTTGAAGATCCCTTAACCAAATTTTAGTTTTTATACTGCTTTACTATCGTTTTAAAAATGTTTCGTCATCTCCTAAGGATAAACTCATAATTCACCAAAATTTTCGAGGTCGTGTGCCCCTATAAATTTTTGAAAATTTTAAAACATGTATATCTTTTTAGTATAATTACTAAAATCTCTATTAACCAAATTATAACGTTGAAACTGGTTAAAAATTGTTTTGAAAATTTTTCGTCGTCTCCTAAAAATAACCTCAAAATCCACCAAAATTTTTGAGGTCGTGGGCTAACTCCTATTATTTTTTGAAAATTTCAAAACATGTATTCCTTGCTAGTATAAATATTTAAAGATCTATTAACCCTATTATAGTTTTGAAACTGCTTGACAATCGTTTTGAAAATGTTTCATCATTTTAAGGATAACGTCAAAATCCACCGTAATCGTGGACTAACCCTATAAATTTTTGAAAATTTTAAAACATATATTCATTGATTGTATACTTATTTAAGGACCCATTAACCATATTATAATGTTGAAAACTCTTAACAATCGTTTTAAAAAATGTCTCATCGTCTCCTGAGGATAAGGGAAAAATTCAATAAATTTTTTGAGGTCATGGGCTAATAACTCCTATGAACTTTTGAAAATTTCAAAACAAGTATTACTGGCTAGTATATTTATTTAAAGATACATTAGCCAAATTATAGTGTTGAAACTACTTAACAATCATTTCAAAAATGTTTCATCGTCTCCTAAGAATAACGTCAAAATCCACCAAATTTTTTGAGGTCATGGGCTAACCCTTATGAATTTTTGAAAATTTCAAAACATATATTCCTTGCTAGTATACTTATTTAAAGACCCATTAACCACAATATAGTGTTGAAACTGCTTAACAATCGTTTAAAAAATATTCCGTCGACTCTTGAGGATAACGTCAAAATCTACCAAATTATCCGAGGTCGTGGGCAAACTAACCCATATGAACTTTTGAAAATTTCAAAATATTTATTCATTGTTTATATACTTATTTAAATATCAATTAACCAAATTTTAGTGTTAAAACTGATTAACCATCATTTTGAAAATATTTAGTTTGTCTTCTAAGGATAAACTCTGAACCCACCAAATTTTTCAAGGTTATGGGCTAACCCCTTATGAAATTTTGAAAATTTCAAAACATGTATTTCTTGCTATTATACTTATTTAAAGACCTATTAACCAAATTATAGTGTTGAAACTGTTTAACAATTGTCTTGATAATGTTTTGACGTCTCTTGAGAATAACGTCAAAATCTACTACAATCGGCCCAAAAGTGAAGGACCTTTCCCTCTGGGGGGGGTAGGAAAATCATGCTCGGAATAGCGGACTCAAAGCTATGGAACTTGGTTGGGGATGGGTCTTTTGTCGAAATAGAGTGGAGTGGCCTTCTTTTTTATTTGAATTTAGATATATATATCTATTATATCTATCGCTTATTTTTTTACATATAGTATTTTTACCTGTCGAATCAGCATATTTTTCGAAGCCCCGTAACTCTTCCTCAGCCAGGCTTGGGCAGAATAGCCCCTATGAATTTTTAAAAGTTTCAAAACATATATTCCTTGCTAGTATACTTATTTAAAGAATTATTAACCAAATTATAGTGTTGAAATTGTTTAACAATCGTTTTGAAAATATTTCGTCGTCTCCTTAAGATAACGTCAAAATCCGCCAAATTTTTCGAGGTCGTAGGCTATTAGCCGTTATAGTGTTTAAACCCCTATGAATTTTTAAAAATTTAAAACATGTATTTCTTGTTTGTATAGATATTTAAAGACCCATTAATCAAATTATAGTGTTTAAACTGTTTAACAATCGTTTTGAACAAAATTAACCAAATTAACATCAAAATTAACCAAATTTTGAAAATTTTGAAAATGTTTCATCGTTTCATAAGGATAATGTCAAAATCCACCAATTATGTTTAAGAGTTTCTGTGACGTCCTAATTCCGTTTTCCACTTTCTTATTGGTGTCACAATTACAAACTAAGCTAAGTATCAAAACATTTACATTTATGAACAGTGGATGATATAATTGATTCGACTGGTAGGTTATTACTGAGACACACACACACACCCAGAGAACAAGCAGGTAGACTAGTGCGAAGCAATCGTATCTATCATGCAAGAAAACCAAACCCCAAGTACACTACTATGTCGGAAAGACGGGTCAGAAAAAATGGAACAACACATTTCTTATAGTAGCTCGACGTCTCTATATCTTTATTTTTTATCTACATCATAATGATGTTTCCATATATTTAGGATTTGTAGTTCATCAATGTGTTTGCAAAACAAATTTTAATATTTTATCTTAAGACTGAGACATAACATATATTTTATGATCACAAAAATTCAAAAATATCGGATGGAACATAAAATATGGTCCCAAAACTTAGTATATATATATATATATATATCCGTTTCTTACAATTTTATCTAGTGGTTTATTCTTTTATCTAATCTACTAACCTTTTTAGGTCATTGTGGAGAAAGCCATGATGCAATCTTTGTTTTGATGCATATTATACATGTGGGATTATAAAGCAAGAAATCATACACGTTACGATTATGTAATTCATGCTCTTATACACATGTAGAATCTTCTTCTTTTAGTGATATCGATTATTAATCCTTTTTCTGTTAATATAGAAACAGTATATATTTAAAATTTTCTTTTCTTAGCTTACATACGTTTACTTAACCCACACGTCGTCAACGCCCAGCCCATAGGATAGGGATGGTTACGAAACCGAACATACGCGTGCACGCGTATTCTACAGCATTCACACGTGCCAAAACCATCGTTATATATAAACAACCTTAAGGTACGCTAATTCCTCATCACCATTACATTGTTTTATTTGTCAAAATCAATTTCTTAGAAAATCTCTCAAAGAAGAATCTTCGTCTCTTCATACGAACGATCATGGCTCAAACCGATTTCAATCAGCCAAAACTAGATATGGTAATCATGTAATCTCGTATCTCTATTTGATTGTATAGATCGTAGTTTATATTAATAATCATGTGGAGAAGAGTATGTTTAACGAATTATTGAATAGTTAAACCTAATCTCTCTTGGTTAATTACAATATGTGAAAATTTCAGACAAAGGAGGAGAAAGAGAGGTTGAAGTATTTGGAGTTCGTGCAAGCTGCTGCTGTTGAAGCATTGCTTCGCTTTGCTCTCATTTACGCAAAGGCAAAGGACAAGTCTGGTCCATTGAAACCAGGTGTTGAATCCGTTGAAGGAGCTGTTAAGACCGTGGTCGGTCCTGTCTATAACAAGTACCACGATGTCCCCGTCGAGGTTCTTAAATACATGGACCAGAAGGTATCCCTAGTTTTTTTTTGTCAAGATATCCCTAGTTTTTTTAGATTTTTATATTTGACTATTTAGAGGAATTTTTTTTGTTCCAAACTATTTGACTTTTTCAATTCTCTATATAAAATTTATTAATAATTTGTTTAAGAAATGAAAAAAAAATACTCCTTCCAATTTATTTTATTTGTCATTTTAAGGCTTTGGATAAAAACTAAAAAAAATATTTAATTTTCCATATTTTAAAAATAAAAATATTATTATTAATACACTTAAACACATTTCAATTAAGAAAAAATAAAAAAATAAAAAAACACATTAAACTTAATAAATCCTGCATTGAAATTAAAAAATTAAACATTTATTTTGAAATGAAATTTTTCCCCACAACTGACAAGTAAATCAAAACGGAAGGAGTATTACTTAATCTATGTAGTAAAACAGAGGAATGATGACGTTGAGCTGACAATATCTATTGAACGGTCTTGGTCATTTGCAGGTTGACGTATCTGTAAGTGAGCTTGACCGCCGTGTCCCACCAGTGGTCAAACAAGTGTCTGCCCAAGCCATCTCAGCTGCTCAGTTAGCACCCATTGTGGCTCGTGCCTTAGCCACTGAGGTTAGACGTGCGGGCGTTGTGGAAACCGCTTCCGGGATGGCTAAATCCGTATACACCAAGTACGAGCCTACAGCTAAGGAGTTGTATGCAAGCTACGAGCCAAAAGCAGAGCAATGTGCAGTTTCGGCTTGGAAGAAGCTGAACCAGCTTCCTCTGTTCCCGAGGCTGGCTCAAGTAGCTGTACCAACGGCTGCTTTCTGCTCTGAGAAGTACAATGATACGGTGGTGATGGCTGCGGAGAAAGGGTACAGGGTCTCATCGTACATGCCTTTGGTTCCAACAGAGAGGATCTCAAAGATCTTCTCCGAGGAGAAGACTGAGATCAAGGCTTTGGAGTTTCATCCACTTGATTGATTTGTGTGTTTTGTTTGGTTTGATGTGAATTGGGTCTTGGTTAGCGGGTGGTCACTGGTTTGTGGTTCTTTTGTTTCTTGTCTTTCTGTTTCCTTTCAATATTTCGTTGAGTAATACCCAAAAAAATGTATTATCTTGTGTGTTTGGAGTATTGTATAAATTATATTGTATTCTGTTTTTACAATAGTATATCTCTTTCTTTCTTTTTTTTTGTATTTTATATATTTGAACAAAGAAAAAGAAAAAATTTAATTTTAATGGGACTATATATTTACCTAGAATTTTCTTTAATGGGAATATAAAGAGTAAGGCCCAAGGAAACAGGGTCATATTGGGAAAAGAGAAGGTCGAGTGAGAAGAAGCGAAACCCTAAACTTTTGGTCATGCAGTTTGCGAGATCCTTCGTTACGCATGTAAGGGAATTTGTAATTATTTTTGGTACGTTCGAATTATGCTGGTCGATCAAGAAAAAAACCCTCCAAGTTTTTGGTTTGCTTGCAGTCTTATCGCCGAGGAAAACCACATGGGCGGCATAGTTTCAACAATGGTAGTCATCTCTTTCTTTCCTCAGATGTATCTAATGGAGTTAGTTTTGTTTTTTTAATGGATTTTGAACAAATAAAAAGAAGCTGAATGGTCCTTTTTTTTCAGAAGCAAAAGGAATGGCGAATCGTACTCCTCCTAAGGTAATCAACTAATTCCGACATGAACTCTCTTTGTGTTTTGATTATGTATCTGATCCATATGTCTGTTTCGAATACTGCAGAAACCAGTTGCACCACGTGGCCCTATGGCACCTGGCCTAGCACTGTTTTTTGGATTTACTGGCTACATTATCTGGCGTAATGTGTATTTATTTCAAAATTGATCGAACACTTTTTGTTTGTTTGTTTACTTAGGGGTCATAATCATTATTTTAACCTTTCAGAAATGGTTGAGCTTAGAGGAATCTCAAAAGCTGCGGATAAGGATATGGAATATCGCAGAGAAATCCATCTGAGGAGCACCCGTATTGGTGAAGGACAGAGAGAGGTATTCTTCAGACTCTTTTATTTTGGTCACTTAAGCATTGGGTTTGTGCCCAACATACATTTGGAGATTATTTTTATGCATTTTTTATGCATCCCTTGATTCCTCTTTTTTTTTCCAGATATCCAGGCTCATGGATAAAAATGAAGCTGAAGCTGAAGCTAAAGCTAATAATTAAGGATGAATATTTGGGATTAGGTTTCGTGCAAGCTATCAGCTAGTATGATTGTTTATAACTGTTAAATTTCGTTTGGACTTCCTGATGTGATTGTGTTTTTTTTTTTTTTTTTTTTTTTT